GTAGCATAGGAGATAGTGAAAGTGGCTAGATTCTGCATTTATTTTGAGGCTACAGCCAATAGAGTTTGTCAACGTAAGAGAATGAGTAGAGTCAATCTTGACTCGTGGTTTTTGACTTGAGCACCTGAGAGGATGGAGCTACTATACACTAGACAGAGAAGAATGCATGAGATTTGTGTAAAACATCTGGGGTTAAGTTTTTTATGTTTAGTGTACATCCCAGTGAAATATTTAATAGACAGCTGGAAATTCATGAATTCCCAAAAGAGGTTCTAACTATTGATATAAATTAGAGTCATCAGAGACTAGATTAGATAGAAAGCCATTAACCTGGTAAGATCATTGAGGGAAGTAGTCAGAGAAGAGGACAAAAAGAGAAGCGGTATAAGACTGAGTCCCAGCGTACTCTAACAGTTAAGACATAGGAAGATGAGAAAAATGAGATAAGGAAAAAGGAAGATCATCCAGTGAGAAGCTAGTGAGACAGGAGGGAAAACAGGAGCACATGGCGTCTAGGAAATCAAATGGTGTGAAAGCATTGCAAGGTGGAGGGAGTGACTAATCCTGTCACATGGTGTTGGAAGATCAAGTGAAATGAGAAATAAGAAATTATCTTTTGAGTTGATAATTTAATTGTTAGACAGATAAGGACATCTGGTTGACTTAGTACTATATATTGCAAAGAACATCTTTTGTCCACAGCAGTGCCTTTTTCACAAATCATGTGACAATATATACGTAGGTTTGCTTTTCGACTTCCTGCTAAATTGTCATTTGTCTATCTGTCAATCATTGTACTAATACTCCACTTATCATAATTTTACATTAGATCTTGATATCTGATGCCATACGCCCCCTTGCTTTGTTTTTCTACTACAAGATTGCTTTGGCTATTCTTGGGCTTTTGTATTTCTATGTAACTTCTAGAATCAGCTTGCCAATTTTATTTTTTTTTTGATCTGAGATTTTTTTCTTGGGATTGCATTGACTCTTTAAATTAGTTTTAGGAGAGTTAACTTCATTATATTGTATATTTCAGCCCATGAATACATTATATCCCTCTATTTGTCTAGATGGTATTTGTTTTTTCATAATAATGTTTTCTAGCTTTCAGTATAAAGGTTTTATATGTCTTTATTTATATTTTTGTCTATGCATTTGTAGCTTTTTGATGCTATTGAAAATATCGTTTGAAATTTTATTTTTATTTGATTGCTGCTAGCATATAAAATATAATAAATTTTTGTTTAATATCCTCATATCTTAGCAATCTTCTAACTATACTGGCGTATCACCTGTGATAAATGAAGGTTTTCTTCTTCCTTTATAATTCTGAAGTCTTTATTTACTTCTTGCTTTATAAAACTGGCTAGAACTTCTGTGACAATGTTCAAAGAAGTGATAATAAGGGAGATCCTTGTCTCATTCCTGACCTGAAACTTTTCATATTTCTCTATTAAGTATGATCTTTTCTCATAGTGTTTTAGTTTTTTAATCAAATAAAATGACTCCCCTTGTATTTCTAGTTTGCTAAGTTATTTTATTAAATCATCAGTGGGTACTAAATATACTTTTACTGCGTCTATAGTGTGTTTCTTCTTTTCTTCCTCTAATATGGCTATTGTACTAATTGATTTTTCAATGTTATAAATAAATTTTATTTGGCTGTGATGTAGATATTGCTTGTTTTTATTCATTTCTTTAGGATTTTTACATCTATATTCATGAAACAAATTGGTCTACAATTTTCCTTTCTGGTAAGTTCTTATATATTGGTATCAAGGTTAGGCTAGCCTTACAAATGAAATTGAGAAGTGCTCTCTTTCCATTTTTTTGAAAGAATCTGTGTAAGTTATTATTTCTTCCTTAATTATTTGGTAGAATTCACCAGTAAAATCTGGACTTGGAGTTTTCTTTTTGGGATGATTTTAAATAACAGTTCCTGTTTCCTGTATAGATATCAAACTATTCAAATTTTCTTTCTTTTACTGTCAGTTTTTGTAACTTATTTTTGGTTTGAAGTAATTTGTAAATTTCATCTAACTTGTCAAATTCCTTAGCATAAAGTTTTTCATAATGACCTCTTATAATTTTTGATGTTATAATATCTGTAGTGATACTGCCTTTTAAATTGGTATTAATAATTTGCATTCTCTCTTTTAACAATCTTACATTAATCTTTTCAAATAACTAAATTTTGACTTTGTTGGCTTTTCTCAACTGCACTCTTGTTTTCTATTTCACAGATTCTTGTTAATATTTTCTCTATTTCCTTCTTTCTACTTTCCTTAGGTTTGTGTTTCTGCTTTGATTTATTTAGCTTTTTGAAATGGAAGTTTAGGTTATTTGTTTTCAATATTTCTTCTTTTCTAACATGAATTTAAGACCAAGAATTTCCATCTGGTTATTCCTTTAGCTGTATGCCAAAAGTTTTGATATGTTCATCTTCATTATTGTTCGATTCAAAATTTTTTCCAATTTCTATTTGAATTTCTCCTTTTATTTATGAATTATTTCATTGTATATTGAATAATAGGGAGCATTTTGCGGGTTTCTAAATACATTTTTCTTATTGTTTTCTAATTCCACTGTGATCAAAGAATATTCTTTGAATGGCTCAATCTTTTGAAATTTTTTTTTTATTTCAGTTTAGGGGGTACAAATGTTTAGGTTACATATATTGACCTTCCCCTCCGCCGCCCCCAGTCGGAGCTTCAAGTGGTGCGCATCGCACTCATTATGTATGTATATACCCATCCCCTCCTCCCCCATCCCATCTGCCCGATGCCAGATAAATGTTATTCCTATATGTACACTGAGGTGTTGATCAGTGAAACCAATTTGCTGATGAGTACATGTAGTGCTTATTTTTTCATTCTTGGAATACTTCACTTAGTAGAATGGGTTCCAGCTCTATCCAGGAGAATACAAGAGGTGCTATATCACCATTGTTTCTTATAGCTGAATAATATTCCATAGTATACATATATCACATTTTATTAATCCATGCATGTATTGATGGACACTTGGGTTGTTTCCACATCTTTGCAATTGTGAATGTGCTGCTATAAACATTAGGGTGCAGGTGTCTTTTTTATAGAATGTCTTTTGTTCTTTTGGGTAGATGCCCAGTAATAGGATTGCTGGATTGAATGGTAGATCTACTTGTATCTCTTTAAGGTATCTTCATATTGCTTTCCACAGAGGTTGCACTAGTTTGCAGTCCCACCAGCAGTGTATGAGTGTTCCTATCTCTCCACATCCGTGCCGACATTTATTGTTTGGGGACTTTTTGATAAAGGCCATTCTCACTGGAGATAAGTGATATCTCACTGTGGTTTTGATTTGCATTTCCCATATAATTAGAGATGTTGAGCATTTTTTCTTATGTTTTTTGGCCATTATTCTGTCTTCTTTTGAAAAGTTTCTGTTCATGTCCTTTGCCCACTTTTTGGTAGGATGGTTTGATTTTTTCTCACTGATTTTCCTGAATTCTAAATAGATTCTAATTATCAGCCCTTTATTGGATGTATAGCATGCGAATATTGAAACTTTTTCAAGCTTTCTTTTTTTTTTAATTTTTTTTGAAGCTTTCTTTTTAAAGACTCAGCCCATCCTTGATTTTGCAAATATTCAATGTGCACTTGAAAATTATGTGAATTATTCTCTTGCTGGGTTCAGTGTTCTATATATGTTAATCAAATTTGTAAATTATGTTATTCACGTATTTATATCTTTATTGGCTTTTTGGCTGATTCTTCTATCAGGTATAGAGAGAAATACGCCAAAACTTCTCATTATGATTATGGATTTAACTGTATCTTCTCCACTTCTGCCAACTTTTAAAACTATTTTATTGGGAGCTTACACTGGACTGTGATATTCTGGACCAATTATTAGCAGGGGAATCTTAGTGTGGGTGGGTGGGAGAATGCTCCGGGAAGCCTCTCCAGTTCCACTCAAGGGCCCCCTCTTCCATTGATACAGTGGTGATTATTTACTTATTTATTTATTCATTCATTCAAATGACAAGGTGTCCTTCACTCTTCTTATGTATACTATGCCTTTTTAAAATCTCCCTCCGTGCTTAGGATATGCCTAGTTTTATCCCCTGCCCCACAGACATCCCCGCTCACTGTGGGGCAATCTCCTTTCAGGCTGAAAAATTTGGGACGGGTATTTGTATACACAAGGAGTGCAATGCGCACCACCCGAAGGATGCACATATTTGAAACTCGCACTTGGAGGGGGGGACCAAGGGCAACATACGTAACCTAAACATCTGTACCCTCATAATATGCTGAAATAAAAGAAAAAAAATTTGGGATGTTTTCAAAGTTCTTCTGTTAGGACCTCTCATTATTTCAAGTTTTACTCAATTACACACACAGCCTCACTGCCATGCTATAGCTTGTGACTAATGATGCTAATTATACTGTTTTTTTCCCTCTACTTTTACAATATTTGAAGTTTGCGGGTTTTTATGTCTTAGTTTCACTGCAGGTTTGGTTACCAGGAGGGATGTGTTAATCTCCTGTGGCTTTTATGGATTTTAGAAGTGGAGAAACCCCCCCAGGCTGCATCTGTATGATCGCCAGAACGTGGAATCACAAGTTGAAAAACTATTCCCTTTGTGCATTTTAAACTTGTCTGACTCTTAATTCTATTGCTATACATGAGGTTATGGACATATCCTATACTTCCTACTTTTTTTAAAAAAAATACCTTTTACCTATCTCTGATTTATTCAGAATATGCTGCTCTTGTTAGTCTTATGCCATTTTGCCAGGTTAGAATGTATATCAGGTATATTATTACTCTTCCTTAGTTTTGTTGTAAGAAAATTTAGTTTTACCACTCCTAAATATTCTTCACACTAGAGCTGCCCCCTAGGTTCCTGCAGATAGTAAACTTGCTTTATTTAATCTCCACAGTGTAAAATTAAAATTTCAGAGAAATGAACTCATTGCTTTTGTTGAATTTGCTACCCAAATTTAGTAATGGAGAATGTCACCACAGTGAATGAATTTCTTTTACTTGGCCTGACCAGTGTTCAAGAGCTGCAGCCTTTCTTCTTTGTGATTTTCTTAATCATTTACCTGATAAACTTGATTGGAAATGGAGCTATATTAGTAATGATTGTTTTGGAACCAAAACTCCACTCTCCTATGTATTTTTTTCTGGGAAACCTTTCTTGTCTGGATATTTGCTATTCTTCGGTGACACTGCCCAAGGTCCTTGTAAACCTTGTCTCCACTCGCAGGGCCATATCTTTCCTAGGCTGCATCACTCAACTGCACTTCTTCCACTTCCTGGGAAGCACGGAGGCCATTTTACTGGCGGTCATGGCCTTTGACCGTTTTGTTGCCATCTGTAACCCACTTCGCTATCCCGTCGTCATGCGCCCCCAGGTGTGTATTCTGTTGGCAGCTGTGGTCTGGCTTACCAGCTTCCTTTACGCTCTGATGCATTCTGTTACGACTGCACGCCTCAATTTTTGCCACTCTCAGAAACTCAATCACTTCTTTTGTGATGTCAAGCCCCTCTTGCAACTGGCCTGTGATAACACGCTGCTCAATCAATGGCTTCTGTCTGTTGTCACAGGCAGCATATCCATGGGAGCTTTTTTCCTGACTCTTCTCTCCTACTGTTATATTATTGGTTTCCTACTGTTCAAGAACAAGTCCTGCAGAACACTCCACAAGGCTCTGTCCACTTGTGCCTCCCACTTTATGGTGGTCTGTCTTTTCTATGGACCTGTGGGCTTCACATACACTCGTCCTGCCTCAGCCACCTCCGCGATTCCAGACCGGATGGTGGCCATCATGTATAGTGCTGTCACCCCAGTCCTGAATCCACTGATATACACCCTTAGGAACAAAGAAGTGTTGTTGACTCTGAAGAAAATGTTTGGGAGGAAGTTTTAAAGACTTCCAGCAGCACCACTAGCACAAGTGAGACATGTCTGATTTCCATTATGAATGACTTCTGTCACTTCACTGTAATAAATGATTACTTTATTTGGTTGTCATTTTTCTTTCAACAATTTTGAGTATATATCAGGCAGTGTACTAGATTCAAGAAACACAGGAGTGGGCCAGCTGCAGTGGCTCACAGCACTTTGCGAGGCCAACGGGGGAGCATCACGCGAGGCCAGGGGTTTGAGACCGCGCGGGCAACATAGAGAGACCCCATCTCTACAAAAAATTAAAAAGAAATTAGCTGGGAATGGTAGTACGTGCCTGTAGTCCCAGCTACTCAGGAGGCTTAGGTGGGAGCATCACTCGAGCCCAGGAGTTCAAGGCTGCAGTAAGCTCTGATGACACTACTGCTCTATAGCCTGGGTGACAGAGCAAGACTCTGTCTCTTAAAAAAAAGAAAACAAAAAAAAGAAACAGAAGTGAGCGAAATAAATTCCAAAGCTTCATAAACCTTAAAGGTTAGTGTGATAGGGCAACACAATAAACAAATCCGTCTGTACATGTGGCAGGGTAATTAGGTGCTAAGGAGAACTAAATGGAGGTAGGAAGGATAGGGACGCATGAGGGTAGGTACTTAGTCATGAAAAAGAATTTGTCTGGTGTTTGTCCTGGGTTTCTGGCATGGAGTTTCTAAAAGCCTTGGAATTTCTCAAGTAACAGAAGTGTCTTTGTTATTAATGGGCCACTTGGATCACACCTGAGTTTATACTCATGAGGTGACACATGGTGGGGCCCAAGATGGCTTCAAGATGGAGAGCGATCATGCCAGAAAGACCAGCCTTGTGATTATAGTTTGGGGCTTCAGTCATGGTGATACCAGCCTGGCCTCCAGGAGGGGCGGGAGGCTGGAGACAGAGTTCAGCTACATGGCAATGATTCACTCAGTCAGCCTGTGTAGTGAAGCCTTAACAAAAACTCTGAACACCAAAGGTCAGGTGAGCTTCATTCGTTAGAAATATTCTCTATATTTTCGAATGTCAGTGTGCTGGCAGGGTAACATACCTGCGGACAAAGAAGCTTTGTATTTGGGACCCTGCCAGAGTTTGCCTGATGCATTTTCCCGTTTGGCTGTCTCTGATTTGTATGCTTTTCTATGATAAAACTATAATCTAAGTATAGTGCTTTCCTGAGTTCCATGAGTTCTAGCAAGTTATCAACCCTGAGGGTGTGGTAGGAATCTCCAAATTTGTAGCTGGATGGTCAGAAATGAGTAGGACTTGGGGATCCCCAAACTTACTGCCAATGTTTGAAATGAGAGTAGCGTTGTGGAGGACTGTGCCCTTAATATGTGCATAATTCCAGGTAGTTGGTGTCAGAAACCATTATATTCTGTCCCTTATCTCTCTTTTACACACACATACCCACAACCCTGCACCCTCACACTATATAAATTCTTCTATTAATACAATTCATAGCCTTAAGTGATTCTGAAAATATGGTGATTTTAGCATATGGGAACTGGCTAATTGTTGGTAGAGAAAGACATGGCATTTCCTTAGAGATGTGCTTAACAGAGTATCAGAGTATCTATCAGAGACGAAATGGATGAAATTACTGGAACAGGCAGTAAGGTTCGAATGACAGTCAGGGGTTCCTGACGCACATAGATCTATGGTGATGGCAAACTGATCATGGGAAAAATTCCATGCAAACCAATAAAGATAATGATTTCTTGATATGTATCACGAGCAGATCAGCAGAAAGGCTGATATTAACCACCTCAGTGGGGAATCATGATTCCTTACTCAGTTTCCAGACCGGAGTCAGTTCTCAGAGCCTATCCATTGAAGGAGATGCAGCATCCCCTTGAGGAAAGACCCCGCAATGTCACAGAGAGTGCGTCTGTAACAACTTTCCTAGTTCTTATCCAGAAAGGTTCTGTGGCCCTTTACATAAATACTTGTACGCTTTGGAAAGGGAGATAGCCATATCTTTTAAGAGCTTTTGAATGTACACTATGAGCTAACATGGCAACAGACAACCTAGAATGTTTCCATGATCCTCTGTTAGACTGAGTCGGAGGGAGAGTACTGCTGTAGGAAGGTCAGCTGATAAATGATCACTTGTCTAACTCCATCTCACAGTGAGTTCCGTGTTTTCACAGGACCACACACTTGTCATTGCTGAGGTCTCTCATTTCTATGCCAGTCCAGGAAAGCAACCTATGTTACCCTAACCACTGTGAAAATGAGCTTAGTATGTCTTGATGCAAGGGAAGCCGGTAGGAAAAAACAAAGAGGGAATCAAGGACTCTGATGCTATTGGAGAATCCAAAGGGATCTGGATTCTTAGTTCAGATCATGGCTCTCTCAGCTATTTTATTATTTGCTATAGCTGGAAGGCAGCACTGGATCACAAAACGTATAGTTGGACAAAGCAGTAAACAATACCACCAGTCACTACATGCTGATAAGCAGCCTTTGGAAGACAATGCAGAATAAACTAGGTGGGGTGGACACAGACAGCCCCTGTATGGTCCTCAGTGGGCACACTAGTCAAGATATTGAATATACTTTTATTCAATAACCTGCTGCAGCTGCCTCAGTGAGCATGTCTACAGGACTACAGGATGTCATGGAAGGCCATCGAAGTAATCTATTGAAGTCATTGCTTCGTGGACACATGAGAAAGGGTTTCTGAAAAGCCAGGGACTTTGATTCTACTTATTTGATTTTTCTGCATAGCAAGGGGGCTCATTATTGGGGTCAAGGCTTCATGTGAGAATGGTTTGACCCCTGGTTGCAGGACACAGAACAAGGTAGGTGAGGTGTCCTATAAGAGGGCAGGCCAGGAAGCCAAGAATCATCAAAGCTAATGTAGCAGGCAGAGAGCAAAGATAGCATATGCATAACGTCAGCACATCATTAACTCAACAGCTTGATTCATCGAAAAAGTTGATGCAGAAGAGATGATAAAATCTTTTTGCTTATTGGGTGGATTTGAAGTGACTTCGGTTTTTAACTGAAAGATTTCTGGCACAGTGCTTTGCAGAGTCACATGGCATGTCAGCGTCAGGTTGTGACATAAATATCTTCCTTCTATATAACTAATAAAATATTTGTGTATTTAACAAACATATAATGATGAATATATGTCTGGTACATTTCTAGCACTTTGAAAATATTAAATCATTTAATTCTCATAAAATTTATGAGGTAGCACATATGATTGCCACTTTACAGATTAGGAAACTAAGGCACAGAGATGTTTGGTAATTTGCCCAAGACCATCCATAAATAAGTATGGAGTGAGCCTGTCTTGTTTCATATTCCATGCTCTGAACCACCATCCCATGCCAAACCATGCTGATAAAAATAAATTTAGGATTATGAAAGGCAAATCAGGAAAAGGACAATTCATTGAAGAATACTTACAGAGTGCCAACTATGTTACTGCCATTGTGTCAGGTACCAGGAAGACAGTAGGGAACAAAACAAATATGTTTTTGCCTTTGTGGTACTTAGTATCTAGTAGAACTCTGACTTTACTACATTCCTCCTTTCAAGTGGAATTTTTCGAGATCACAGCTTAAGGTGGGCTTGAATAAATAACATTTAATTCTAAACAATTAGTTGATGTATAAAGACAGAGTTTAGGCAATACAGAAAGTTAAAATCAAAGTTATGTGAGAATTTATCTAGACACAAACTTATTATAGAACTAAACATTAATGTAATATAGTATAAAATTATGTAGAGTACTATAATTCTATATTAATATTTTATACAGTAAAATCATAGATTAGAAATTCCTGCCTTGTATGGTTTTAAATTATAACTTCAATAATTATTATCATTCTCACACATATTATGGTATAAATATAATATGTTAAATTGAAGTAAAAAAGTTGTATGAAATGGAGGACTTTTAAATAAACACAACTATATAAACAAAATAAAACTAACTTTTCAAAATTCAAATAAAGACTGCTATATTTATGTGTATGTTTCTTGAGTAATGGTCATCAATTCAAAGATTAGAAATATATTCACCATTAAATTTTGTATCTTCACTGGAGCTTTCTACTTTAACATTTTGTATGGTTTTTTGTTTTTGTTTTTGCATTGTCATGGTGTTCAGTATTACTGTTTAAAGTTATTAGTTTGACGGGGATGCCTCTTTGTTGTTTAGCTATTGGGTGATTATTCAGCATCTCTAGTTGTCTTTTTTTTCTTTCTTATTTCAGCATATTATGGGGGTACAAATGTTTAGGTTACGTATATTGCCCTTGCCCCACCCGAGTCAGAGCTTCAAGCATGTCTATCCCCCAAACGGTGCGCACAGCACCCATCAGGTGTGTGTATACCATCCCCTTCTCCCCTCTCATCTGCCCAACACCCGATGAATGTTATTACTATATGTGCACTTAAGTGTTGATCAGTTAAAACCAATTTGATGGTGAGTACATGTGGTGCTTGTTTTTCCATTCTTGGGATACTTCACTTAGTAGAATGGGTTCTAGCTCTATCCAGGATAATACAAGAGGTGCTAGATCACCATTGTTTTTTGTGGCTGAGTAGAACTCCATGGTATACGTATACCACATTTTATTAATCCACTCATATATTGATGGGCACTTGGGCTGTTTCCACATCTTTGAAATTGTGAATTGTGCTGCTATAAACATTTGAGTGCAAATGTCTTTTTTATGGAATGTCTTTTGTTCTTTTGGGTAGATGCCCAGTAATGGGATTGCTGGATCAAATGGTAATTCTACTTGTATCTCTTTGAAGTATCTCCATATTGCTTTCCACAGAGGTTGCACTAATTTGCAGTCCCACCAGCAGTGTATGAGTGTTCCTATCACTCCACATCCACGCCAACAATTGTTTGGGGACTTTTTGATAAAGGCCATTCTCACTGGAGATAAGTGATATCTCACTGTGGTTTCAATTTACATTTCCCTGATGATTAGTGATATAGAGTATTTTTCCATATGTTTATTAGCCATTAGTCTGTCTTCTTTTGAAAAGTTTCTGTTCATGTTCTTTGCCCACTTTTTAATGTGGTTGTTTGATTTTTTTCTTGCTGATTTTCCTAAGCTCTATATAGATTCTAGTTCTCAGCCCTTTATTGGATGTGTAACATGCAAATATTTTCTCCCAT